AGGCTCCCCAAACCTCACTTGCCTCAATCCTGTCCCACCTGTGTCCTTTCTCAGTGGCTGTGCAGTCACCCAGGCCCAGAGCTTGGAAGTCATTCCTGAGAGCCCCTCAGGCCCATCACCCACCAGAGCTCAGCAGACGCCACTGCTCTGCTGCGTCCCCGCCACATGGCCCTGGTTCAGACCTCTCTTCTCCCCTGTTAGAGTAGCTCTGACTTGCAGGCTTGCATCCACCCACATCCTCCCAGCCCCACAGAGAGCTCTGAAATGCCCGTCTCGTGACGTCCGTCCCCTTCTTCCCCTTAAAACTTCAGGGGCTTCACAAGCCCCACAGGGTACGACCCCGGCAGCCTAGAGACACGCAGGCCTCCATTTCCTCGCGCTGCCACCTCTCCAGCCTCCTGTGCCGCACGCCTGCCTTCAGCTCCCCCCGGGCCTACCGCGTTGCTGCACCAGCCTCCAGCACGTTCGCCGCCTCTCTCTGTTCTTTGTTCTCTCAGATTTCCTCTGCCTGCCACACCGTCTCCTCCTCGTCGTGTGGCCACTTTTTCTAAAAAGTCCAGGCATGCTCTCCCGCCAGAGCTTCTCCTGACCCACTTTCCCCTGCTCTCCAAAGCCGCCTTTTTTCCCCACAACACGCTGGGTACACTTCACTTAGAGCCTTTGTGACATTTCAGCAAAATGACTCTGTCCGTCCCCCTCACCAGCCTGTAAGCACCTGCAGGCAGGGCAGTGTCCGCACCTAGCGCAGCGTCCAGCATGGAACCTCCTCGCCCAGAGTTAGGCGGCAATAGATACAGTGGAATGAACTGAACCCCTGAACCTGTCCCTCCTCTCCCAACGTGCTCACACTTGCTTCTCCCCGCCCCCACTCGCTCAGGTGTGCTGTTTGCCCAGAAACCTGTGGTCCACCTCATCGCAGGATCCGCTCCCCAGAGCATCGGCAGCAGCGCCAGCAGCAGCAGCAGTTCTCACTGCTCGCCAAGTCCTACCTCGTCCCGGGGCACCCCCAGTGCAGAGCCCTCCACCAGCTGGTCCCTCTGAGGGGCAGGACCCAGCTCCCAACTCCCTCCACCCTCCCATCGAGAGTGGAGGAAGCTGATGCACAGAATTTACCTCATCTCATGGAGCCCACATCAAACACCATTTGGCCAGATGTTGAGAGTTTGGACCTGTCCGTCTGTCCAGGCTCCATCAGGTCCTGCTGTACTCTAGAGGCAAGGAGAGGCTGGAGGGGCCTGACAGGGCAGCGTTGTCCAATCAGGGATTGTCCTGGAGAACTGGGCGGGGTCTGTGGGCGTCCAGCTTCCTCCAGGGCTCCCAGGCCACCTCCCATCCCGGGCACAGTGTATTGACAATCTGTAAGCTGACACAGGGCTGGAGGCCCGCCACATCCCTTCCCCTTTAATTTATTTCCCTTCCCCTGCCTTCTGCCGTGACCCCAGGGTCACTGGTCTCTTCCCCTGCTCAGTCCCCCAATCTTTGACTCCAGTGTGGGGCTGCTAGGAGCCAAGAGCATGTCTTTGTGGCCCTTCTCTGCTGAGCATGGCATGGGGTCCTCCCAACCCACCTTGCCTCCCATGTTTGGTTCTTGGGGTGTGGGTCTCTCAAATTCAAGTCTTGAAGCAGTCCTCAGGGCCCCATATCCCCCTTTTAATGGTCCCAAGACAGGGATCATGAGGGCAGTCCTCAGGACCCAGGGCCTGCTGGGCATCTGCTGAGGGAGAGGCAGAGCCTCAGGGGCTGCCCAGGCAGGCCCTGGCACCCACTCCACTGACCCTTTTCTGACCCTGCCAGACCTCACGTCCCCACTCATCCCTGTTGGCCAGCTCTCCCAGGAAACAGCCCACTTGTCCCTTGGGCCCCTCTTCTTCTCGTGGGGCCCAAACCTGCCAATGTCAGGTTCATTGAAATACCTCAGATTTGTAACTGTTGATGTTTGATTCTTCAGGAAGTATTTGCATCTCTGAAATCTTTTTTATATGTGTTTGCTGACTTTTGTGTTTTTTTTACTTTAAAATTTTTATTGTTATTGTAGCACCAAAGAAATGAAAGCAGATCACCCCAAAAGCCGAGCAAATGATTTGGTACCCCAGCCCCTCCGGCCCTTCCCTAAGACCCCAGTGAGGGTGCGAGCGAGGCAGCAGGAGAGACGACTCAGGGATCACAGTGGCAGGAGGAGGTGGAACGGAGAGGCCCGCTCTCATGCAGGTTGGATCGTGAAACCACACCGGTTCTCAAGATGGCCCTTGACCCATTTCCCACCAGAGCAGGGCAGTCCCAAACCCCAGCGCCCAGTTCACCAGGGTGGGGGCAGGGCATCTTCCCTTCACTCAACATTCCCACCTCAGGGCAGGAGTGGGCTGTGGAGGCCATGGACCTTGGAGAAGTTGAGCTGCCCCAGAGGGTGAGGAGATGCTGAAAGAGCTCTGTCTCTCCTCTTGGACCCTGGGGTGGAGTGGGCTGTTCCTGTGTCCTAAAGAAGAGGTGATTCTCGCACAAGGCTCACCTCTCAATCGAGTAAGCCCTGCAGTGTTCAGTGGAACCCCATCTGCTGTGACATCATCGCGCTGTGGTGGTGGGAGACCATGGTGGCACAAACCCACGCACGACTAACGTTCAGTCCATCTAGGAAAGGAAAGGGAAATCATACGCTTGAGCACAAAACACATACCTCAGCCCAGTGAGCTGCAGCTGCACTGACTGCATCTTCTCTCCCTTCCCTAGCCCTCCACACTGTCTCACACTCACACATACTCACACACACAGCCCCATCCATTGGGGGCTGACCCTCTCCTGGCCTCACCAGGCCGGCGCAGGGCCTGGCAGAGAAGGGCGTCTGAGGTCCGTGTCAGGGAGGAGCCCGGTTGGCTGGCGCTGGGCCCACTTGAAGGCATCGCAGACATTTGGCCAGTGTGTCTTTCTCAGGGCTTTGGTCACAAAGGATGGACTCTTCCCACCTGGAGGACACAGGGGTGGTGCACTGTGTCTTCCTGGTTGTTGGATCCTCTCCCTTTCCTCAGGCAGCTTGCCCAGCTTGCCCTCTCAGCAAGCCCTCGCTGCCCTCAAGGGCAACAGCAGGGTCTCAGCCTGAAAGCCCGAGGGTGGGAGCGCCGGCAGGTGCCCCCAGAATGGGGCCCTGGGCCAAGAGGAGCTCTCCTGACGGTGCAGCCCTGAGGTCACATGGCAGCCATTGGCCAGGGCCGCTCCGTCCCCTCCCCCTCCCCTTCTTACTTGTATTTAACCAGGAAAAAATGTGATAGCACATGGGTAGCCTAGGCAGTGGATAAATACCTCAGAAGTCCTCTTGCAGCAAGTGTCTGTATATGTTGTGGTCATTTTCTATCTTACATGTTCTCGAATGTTTATATTTCAATAAACCTCTACCTCTTCACACAAGCAGGTCTCGCAGGCGCTTTCAGTGACTCTTTCATTTGACAGTACTAGGGAAGAGGCGAGGACCTTCAGAATGAAAGGGGCTGAGTGAACTACTCCTCTGATCCCTTGATTTTTCCTAACCCTTCTCTTCGCTGCTCACCCATCGTTTTCCCAAAGCGCTTACTCTCAGCCTGTCTTCTGTATTAGCTGGGCACCGCTGATATTGCATGATCACCAAAACTGACTCCCCTGGTGTCACGTCAGGGTCCCAGCAGGCACAGGGCCAGGGGTCTCCTCCATGAGCAAGCCCTCTTTGAGCTCCTGCTGAATAAGTACAGTCCCCACGCTCACAGAGCTCACACTCTTGTCTGGGAGGCACACACGACTCTAGACAAAAACCGAGTCTTTAGAATACAGCATGACTAGGACCAGTGGGGTAGATAAATGCTGGAGCAGCTCACTAGGGAATCTCTGGAAGGCTTCCCAGCAGCGGACATTTCAGCTAGAAGAATGAGGTGGCCAACTGGAAACGTGAGGAAGAGCAGAGGAAGTGATACATGTGGAAGCTCGGTGGCATCAAAGGACCTGGCATTGGGGAACTGTGGGCAGTGCCTAGGGTTGGGGGGTGCTAGAAAAAAGTGTGGCTGGGGCCAGGATGGAGCCCAGGCTAAGGAATTTGGGCACCATCCTCTGAGCATCGGGACCCTGCTGACATGTTTTAAGGAGGACATAGGCTTAGAAAGAGGCTTTTCTAGAAGGGTGATCTGGAGCTGGGAGACATTCTTGGCATGGACACCCTGGGACACTGCCACTGAAACAGGCCTATACCCAGACTGCTCAGCCTTTTTCTCTGCCACGATGCGCATCGTATGGGCACAACCTGGTTTTGGCAAAACCAAAAGAAATGGGCAGAGAGTTAAAGCACTGGGTGGGTTTGTGATTGCCCATCTCCATCCATAACAACATACACCTCGCCTGTCTGCAACCTCTGAGGCACGGGGAGGGGGTTCTCTCTGCCATTTTGAAGTGCTAGAAAGTGAGGGTGACACTGGGACAGTCTTGAACCTCTCACTGACTTTTTAAAATCTTTTGAAAGAAATAACCAACCCTTTAGTACTTTAATTACTAACCAATAGTTGGGATCACACGTCACAACCTCCTGTGACACACCAGGAGGCTGCCACATGGAGATTCAGTGGGCCTGGTATGGGAGGAGGCCCAGAGATGAGGAGAAGCAGGGTCCAGAGACAAATTGAGTTAGAAGTATGGAGTGGATGTGAGGGGACGCTGAGGGAGAAGTGGCAGCTGAATAAGCCTCCTGATAGAGATGGAGAATCTGAGAAGACCAAGGCACTGAGCCACTGCAATTCCATCCCACTTTAAATTAACAGAAAAAAATATAGGAGAATATCTGAGACCTCGAGAAAAGGAAGAATTCCTCAGACTAGACCCTCCGAGAAAAGTTCATCAAAAGATACCATAAGATAAAAAGACAAACTGGGAGGAGATGCTTGTAACACACAGCTAGTCAGAATTTCTTTCTTTTTTAAAAAAAATACTTATTTGTTTTGTTTTTTTTGCATTACGCGGGCCTCTCACTGTTGTGGCCTCTCCCATTGCGGAGCGCAGGCTCAGCGGCCATTAAATGCTTATTGTTAAGACAAAAGCAAACAGAAGGATTGAGGAGAGGCGGCAAAGTCATGAACAGGTATTTGGCAGAAGAGGAGATAAAATGGTCCTCATTAGTAATCAGGGAAATGCACAAAAATCCATTCCACACCATCAGATTGGCACAAACTGTAGTCTTAAAATACCAGGCCTTGGTGAGGATGGGGAGCAATGGGAACTTTCACAGATTGCTGGGGGTTGGGGGGGGATAAATTAGCCTAACTCTGGAAAACACTATGGCTGTACCTAGTAAAGTGGAACGTGCCCATGCCCTGGGGCCCAGCAATTCTGCTCCCAGGTTTGTACCCCAGAGGAACTCTGAACGTGTGCCCCAGGACATGGGATGGCACTGATGGTAATAAGGAGACTGTGAAATTACTAATTACTGAACACTGGTGTATGCCAGGTGTGGTTTAAGTTCTTTGCATGAATTAACTCGTTTGCTCCTCTACACGTTTATGAGTTTGGAGGCGCAGAGAGGTTGAGTAACTAGCATGAGGTCCCAGAGCTGTGAGAAGAGCAGTCGGTGGCTACGGAGTCCAGAATCTGCCCTAACCACGAGCGAGGCAAAGCACTCTGCTCAGTGTCTCATTTAACACTGCACCCATAGACCTGTGAGGCAGAGACTTCGTTCATTTTACAGATGAAGAAACTGAAGAGCAGAAATGTGCACGAGGTCACAAACGTAGTGAATGGCAGGGCTGGGAACGGACTCTAACGCAGCTGTCCAACTTCTCCCGCAGATGCCTCTTTTAAGTTAGGGCAGGGGTAACCCAACGCGGTTACGAGAGGGAAGCAGAGGACGCGGGGAGGGGAGTCTGATTATCCCACGTCTCGGCTCTGGCCCCACCCGACCCCCCAAGCCTCGCACAGCAGGGGGGGTCACCTGAGGGACGTGAGCATCTCCGGGACCAGCTTTCCCAGCCACGAGCCGCAGCTTCCCCCACCTCATTGGCCAGGGCTGGGCATGTGCCCTCCGCGCGGCCAATGGGGCGAGCGCGGGGTGGGGGGCGGCTAGGAAGGGCCTGGGGCCGCGCGGCGCTTGGAGGGTCGGTCCGGCGCCGGCAGCGTCTCTGCCCGCCTCCCTATGAAATGAAGTGCCCGTTACTGCCCGGAAAGGAGGGGGAGTTGGTGGCTTGGGACTTATGAAAGAGAAGGTTTGTAATCACCACCGGAAGGAAAGGGAGAAGGAACCGACCAGACCAGCAGGACTGGGAAGAGTGGGAGCCCCCGCTGCGCTTGGAGACAGTGAGTACCAACCCCGTCAGCAGCTGGGACACAGGGACACACAAGAAGGCAAAGGGGTGGTGGGGTGGCCTTCTGTGCCAGGGGAACAAACCGGAGCCGGGTCTGAGATAAGCCGGTGGAGGGCAATGCTCCACCTACCCGGAGGGCCTTTGGGACAGGGTGGGCAGCCATCTGGTTTGGAGGCATTCCCTCGTAAGGGACCCAAATCGCTCAGGCCCATATGAGCAGACAGGAGGGGTATTTATTCTCCGACACCAGGGTATGTGGAGGAGCCCAAGGGCAATGGGACCTGGGGCTGGCCTCAGGAAGGGTCTGGAACCCAGAAGCGCTGCCCGTGGAAGGTATTCCTCCCCTCCTGAAGACCAGCTCAGCCTGACGCCTGAGCTACAGAGCAAGGTGAGATGACCATCCGAAAGGTCAACTTTATGTCTTCTGCATGCATGAGACCCCCTGGGCTGAAGCAAAATCGCTCCATCCCAATTTCAGTTTCTGGGAATCGTCAGCTCCATTTACTCTTACTGAAATACACCTTTTTCCGCAGAGAAAAACGGCGGTTGACAGCTCCCCAGTTTTATGTGTCCAGTTTTCAGCCCAGGAAAGATTACTCTTTTGTCCTAAGTCCAGTGACCCCAGGAAGGAGACCACTGGTTTAGTCGGGTTCAGCACCCAGTGCTGGACCAATCAGTTGAGAACTTGACAGCCCCCACAGTAGCCTGTATATGGCAGGGAGGGCAGAGGACATTTTGTGGAGGACGATGCTGGAGAAACAATCCCAAAGATGTTCTGTCCCATCGCCCTGCCAGAGTCCCCCTCTGCAAAACCCTTCTTCACTTAAGGCAGTAGATGCGGGGAGCGTTCAGTGACAGCATCGAGGATGGTTCTGGGGGGCATGTGGCCCAGCTAACAGCTCTGTAGGGGAAGGAAGCACAGAGGAGGGTGGGGAGGGAAGTTCAGAAAAAGAAAAATGGCCAGTTGACCTTGAGGGGGATGTCAACCCTAAGCCAGCCTGGCCTGTGGCCATTGAAGATGGTCCTGCTATCAAGCTCAGAACAGGCAGTGTGAAATGAGAAACCACCTTTCTGGGACAAGTTAGGGGACCAGGGGGCTTAGCTGCTGTTTTGCTGTGTGACCTAGGGCAAGTTACTGCCCTTCTCTGGGCAGTTTCCTGTCTGTGAAATGGAAACTGTGATTTGAATGAAGTGATTTGAATGAAGCACAAGTAAATGAAAACTCACTTTGAAAAGCCTAAAGCCCAGTGCCTAAGGCCTTCACCAGTAAGACAGAGGGTCCCAGCCATCACTCTGCTGGCACTGGGGCAATGAGTGGGCCAACCAAGCCCCACGAGGACCCCAGCATCCCCACTTGGCCACTCCCTGCCCAGCTCTACTCTGAGCCACAGGGTCCCCCTGGGAAAGAGCCAGGTGGCCTCAACCACTGAGAGTCAGGAACCCTGTGCCGGCGTGAGCATTTCAGGCCCCGTGGCAGGTGGGGGACAAGGACAGCCTCTTACTGCAGCCACCTACAATAGGCCTGACAGAGACTTTGGCCTTGGGGCCTAAAGGCATAGCTACAGGGGCCTCCCCTCTCCCCAAGAGTCTTTTTCCTCACTTGGTTTCCTGAGGCCTATCGATCCAGGCCCTCTGTGCCAGGACTGCCCGGCTCCCTGGGGCTGGGCCAGGGGCTGACCTCAGTCTCTTGTGCTGCAGAGCGAGGCTGTGAATCTGTTCCCTCGTGGCTCTGGGCCTCAGTCTCCACGCCGCCTTTCTTCCCCAGCCTGGGCACTGCCCCTGGCTGCTTCTCAGATGCTCCTTTCCTCTGGTTCCAGGGCTGTGGCTACGATCTGGAAGCAGATGAGGCAGAGGCTGACCCCCACAGAGGGCACAGAGGCAGGGCAGGTACCAGGTATGCGGTAGCTCCAGCTCTGCCGGGGAAGGGTGGGCAGTGGGCAGGAATCCAGGAGAACCAGCAAAGGTCCAAGCTGGAGGGGCCCTTCGAGCCTCTGTTTCCCCCTCCAACTTGTGGATGGGGAGACGAAGGCAGAGAGAGAGACTGGGCCTGGGTCCCACAGGGAGGCAGGGGTCACTCTGCCTGTCCCTCTGGAGAATCCCCAAATGCTACCTTCAGTTGAGAGGCGGATGGAGGCTCCTGTCCTCCCGGCGCTGGAGCCCTTGATGCTCGGAGCTGCACCAGCTCCTGTTCCCTGTGGACACAGTTCCCAGCCTGAGGGTCCACTGACAGATCTGCCCCGCTTCCCTTGGGATCCCCAGAGAGCAGCTGAGGCAAAAGACAGGATCCCCCACCCCGTCCAGCTCCTCCACACAGGGTCATAAAGATGAGGCCCTTGGTCAGAGTGAAATAGAATCCAAGCACTAACAGTATTCAAGCTCCTGGTCGTGGGCATTGTCTATCACTGGTGGCTGCACATTGTATCAGATTGTTTCCTGAGCTTAATAAGAAGTGTAGACAATGCCTTGTTGGTGGAACAATGGATAGACTTTGTGACTGAAGCCCCATACACAGTTGGTCTTGGGCACATCTCTGTGGTTTTATGGCTTTAATACTGACTCACCCAAACTGGACCCCAGGTATCAGGAAGCTTAGGGGGACTGGAAACAGGCACTGTGCTCCATGCACCGTCTCGTGTAATCCTCACATCATCCTTTGAGGTAGGTACTGTCAGTACCCCCATTTTGCAGATGAGGAAACTGAGGCTTAGAGAAGGCACACCTGCTCATACTCACCTAGTTGGTTGGTGGAGAAGCTGACTCGAGCACAGGACTTTTCAGCTCTGAAGGCCACTCTCCTTCAATCTCTGACGCCAGGCCCAGGAACCCAGACATCCTGACTCTCTGTGCCCCCAGAACCCACTTAGCCACGCTCCCTCCTGCTTCTTCCCCTAGATTCCCCTTTTCAGAGAAGAGAAGGCAGACAGGGCGATACATCAGGCCCCAGGCCCATCACTATCCCCCGAGGGGATGAGAGGGCTCACTTAACAGCGTGTCCCCAAACGCCCCCTGCCACCTGCCCCAGATTCTCAGGGGCAGGGGAAGAGCTGTGGGGCCTGGTGAGCATCTCTGTGAGGGAGGGGGGTTTCTCCCCCAGAGCCCCTCAGATCCGGGTGCCCCTCACCACCACCCCCATGGTCCTCACTTTCCCACCAGCTCCTGCTCCAGCCTCAGCTTCTCAGCAAGGCTCTCTGCCACCTTGAGGGGGAGTGGGGAGAGGCAGTGAGCACATTCGAGGGCTTCGGCCCTGTCGGAAAGGGGGCAGTGAGGGCTTGGGAGGGACTTGACTAGGGAGTCGAAGAAGGGAAAGCCAGTGGCCACAGTGTGACCAGGAATGGGCAGGGGAGACTGTGGGTCCCTCGTTGGGCATGCAGGCCTGGCAGCGGCACAGAGGTGGGGGTGAGTCGAGCCCCGGTTCTGGGCGCCCTCCAGGGCCAGCTGCTGAGCCTCCAGCTTTGAGGCTTGGGCTTTCAGCACGTCCCAGGCTTTCTCGAGCTTAGGCCGCATCTGGGTCAGCTCGGAGCCCACCTCCTGCAGCGAAGTCTGCAGGAACTGGGGGTGGGGGGACGGTCGTTGACTCCTATCTCAATCTGGTGCTTCCCCGAGGACATCACCCCACTCCATTCTCACAGGGGCCTGCCTGGGACTACGCCTTGACCCAGAGAAGGAACAGCTGACTATCAGGTGCTGGGAGAAGCTGACGGAACAGCACTAGGGGGAAGGAGCAGGATGGCCTCTTTCTTCCCCTCCTAATTTTTAGGTGACTAAAAATTTCCCTGAGTCCAAAAATACTGATGGGTGAAACTCCCTCAGTGCTCCCTGTATGACTAATTCCTTCCAGCCTGAGAGCTTCCTGAGGGCAGGCCCCGGTCTCCAAATCCCCCTCTGTCTCCAGATCCTCCCCTCTCTCCCTGCACTGGGTCCCTGTGCACCAGGCTGGGCCCACAGAGCCTTGACCGTGATGCACTTGCTTTGTGTTGACTGGTGAGCCCACCCTGCCAAGGAGCGAGTGCCTGGTCCCCACCCAGGGCCACCCCGAGACCATGCAAGAGCAGGGCAGCCTGGGGTCCAGCCTGCAGTGGGTCTAGGCTCAGCTCTTGGCCCTCGGAGGAGACATCCTGATCCCGATTCACTGGTTCCAACAAGCTTTCCCCTCCCCGCCTCCGGAGTTCACCCTACCTTCACCTCTCCAGGTGGCCTCGGCCTCAGTTTCCTGGTCACAAGGACCCAGCGTGGTGTTAGAGGGCCCGGTCCACACAGCTGCATCCTCTGCCTGGGAGGCCCTGTCCCCAGCCCTGAGGGAGGGCAGCCAGGACCAACCCAGGCCAGCTCTCACCTCCCAGTGGGGCTGCAGTGACTCTGCCCCTGCCTGCTCCCAAGCTTTCCCCTCTGCCCCTGGGGGGGCCCCCCGGACACTCCTTGGGTTTCTCTGCAGGCCTCAGCTCTGGCAGCCCCTGGGGCAGGCCTTGCCCACATCCCATTCTGTATGTCATTAGCCCCACCAAGGACAGTGGGCCACTCCACTGGGACACAGGCCCTAAAGATCTGGAGAGTATGACCCAGGGACAGCAACCTAATGGGTAAACCAAATAGGGTCATAGTATCACTGAGGGTCAAGAACCCCTCCTGAGTCCTGCCGACACCAGTCCCAGTGCACAGATGGGGACCTGAGCCCAGAGTCAGCAGAGGGTTTGTCCAAGGCCACCTGGCCACAACCCCATCTCTGTGTTCTTGGAAACCCTGCTGCCTGGGAGGCCCAGGGAGGATTCCACAGTGGCTTCCCCTGCAGACTATGGGACTGGAGGCTGAGGGGAGTGGGCTTGACTGGTGCCCACTCAGTAAGTGCCAGTCTGGTCCCCAGAGAGAAGCCAAGCTGGGCCCAGACCTCCCCAGGGGGCTGGGGATGGGGTGGAGTCCACCTTGCATGCACAGACTCATAGCCTGCCTGGGGTCTCTGCCGGGGCCCGCACCTATGGGAAGAGGGTGGGTGCCTAGAACTCGGGAACACCTGGGCGGCTGGCCTTCCTTCTCAGCCGGCTGGACTGTCCAGGTTCTTGTGTCCCTGTCCTGGCGTGTGGGCAGGCCCGGGCCACACCCACCCGAGGGCACCAACCCTTGCCCCTAGTAGCTCACGCTGCAGGTTCCAGTGCCAGCTGCACCCTGAGTCCTGCTCCTGCCCCCAGGCATCCAGCTCAGACTGGAGTGAGAGGCCCTTATCCATTTGTGGACAGAAGGGCTGCCTTAGCCCAAGAGGCCCCACACCCTGGACCTGAGCCCCCAGGTACTACAGGGGCCAGGACATGGAGTTTGGGACCCATTATACAGACAGGGAAGCTGAGGCCCCATGAGGGGAAGGGGCTAGTGCCTGTGACAGAGCCCGGGCTGCTTACTTTTTTGCACTAGGTCCCTGGTTTCCGGCTTGGGGAAAACTCTAGGGTCATCAGGAAGGGCTTCTGAGGGCCCTGACCCCAGGTGGGCCCCAACTCCCCCCACCCCAGGCAGCCCCTAGCTCCTCCCACCTTCCACCTCTGGATCCTGGCAGTCATCTGGTTGTTTTTTCTCTCCAGAGCCTGCGTCTTGCTCCTGTCACTGGCCAAAGCCAGGCAGTGAAGCACAGATTGCAGCCCCATCTGTGGGGAGCCCCACCCCCATCCTCTCATGCCCACAGACACCCCCACACAGGCTCTTGAGTCTGGGCAGGGCCCCGCCTGCAGAGAGGAGCCCGATTTCCAGCCTGGACCCCAGTCCACCTCCCTCACCCGAGGTGCCTGGGGGCTCACTGAGCGGCCCGTCCCATGGACACTCCAGCCCCTCTGCAGCTGTGCCAGGGTCCTGGGATTAAGGGAGGGGAAAAACAAGACAAAGAACAGCTGGGTCCCCAAGATCCCAAGTCACACCCGACCCACCCAACAAGAAGGTAGCAGGAAGCAAATTGGAGGGTGTTGTGGATTGAACTGTGTCCCCCACAAAAAAAGGTATGTTTGCATTCTAACCTCCCGTACCCCAGAATGGGACTTTATTTGGAGACAGGGTCTTTACAGAAGTAAATTTAAAATGAGCTCATGAGAGTGGGCCTTAATTCAGTATAACTGGTGTCTTTATAAATAGGGGAAACTTGAACACAGAAACATACACACAGGGAGAGTCCTTTGTGAATACGAAGGCAGAGACTGGGGTGATGCGAATGTCCAAGACTGTCAGCAACCACCAGAAGCTGGGGGAGAGGCGGGAACAGATGCTCTCTCACAGCCCTCAGAAGGAACCAACCCTGCCGACATCTTGATCTCGGACTCCAGCCTCCAGAACTCTGAGACAGTAAGCTTCTGTTGGTTAAGCCCCCCATTTTGTGGTCCTTGGTTATGGCAGCCCTAGCAAACTAACACACAGGGTGAATGAGATCAAACCCCCATGGCAGCTCTTTGGCCCCAAAGGGACCCTGATTCAGAAGGGAGACTTTTGCCTGAAAGCGGCCAGGCCTGCAGCAGCATGAAGTGTGTAACGATAGCAGCTAACATTTCATGACTACGTGCCACGTGTCCAGCACAGCACTGAGCTTCTTACATGCTTGTCCAGTTTAACCCTCACAGCCAGCTGCTGGGGGAGGAAAGCTGTTACTGTTCTTGGTTTTTACAGATGAGGGCCAGAGAAATGGAGTAATTTGCCCAAGGGCACACAGCTAGTATAATGTGGAGTCAGTGGTCAGGCTCCAGAGCCCACAGTCTTAACCACTATTTTGGGGACAGTGAAGCCCACAGAATCCTGGGATTGGAGAGAAAGACTGAGGTAGAGACCCAGAGAGGGTCAGGGTGGAAGGAGCCTGAGGTGGGGGATGGGACTAGAGGTGCAGAGTGCTGGAGGCCCTGGGTGCCCCTCACGTCCCCTGCAGCCAGATGTTGATGCAGCATCAGACCCTATCCAGCTGCTGCCCCCTCTCCCTGCTGTGTTTGGCCCATTGGCTGCTCTACATAGGACCCCTGCCAACGATGTAGGGTCAACTTCTAGGTCACCTTCCCTGGACAAGCACAGGGCCTGGGACACCCATTCACTCACAGGTGAGTCCTAGTCCTGGGAGGAGCTCCCAGGGACTGGAAAGAGGGAGATAGGGCAGGGCAGTCCCTGAGGGGCACGGAGCTGGGAGACCCTAGAGCTGGGGCTCACATCTGCACTGGTTACGGGCCAACTGCATGGTGTTTGCATAGGGCTCCCCTGGCACCACCTCCGGCCTTCCCGGAGCCTGAATCTGACCAGAGGGCCTGGCCCTTGGTCACTGAGTGCCCTACCTTCTCGCTGACATGATCCACTGCACACCCCATAAAGAACAGAGTCCCTCCAGGCCCCAGGGAGACAATCTCCAACCCTCAAGAGTCTGGGTTGAGAAACAGACAAAAAATGAGATTTTCTGTACAAATGTGTGCAGTTGCAGACTGTTACTGCAAATTTGCTTCCTTGAGGAACTAACAGCCTTCTCAGCCCAGCTCTGGACCCCAGTTTGAGGTTCACCAGTTTAGACCAACTCCACCTTCTGTGAGGCCTGGGCCAGCTAAGCACTGCTGCTGAGACCCCTCTCCCTGTGCTTCCAGCCATAGCAACAGATCACCTCTGGTTGGGGTCCTGCACAGAATGGATCCCATCCAGGTCCTTACAGCTCTCCATCACTGTGGCTCTGAGCCTTCTCCTCGGTGTCTGTCTATTTCTCTGTGTCTCTGTGTGGGCACATCTGGGAGCATGTGCACATGTCTCTGGGTGAGTGTCTGATGTATATCTTGGGGTGTGTGTGTGTCCAACTGTCTGTCTGCCCGTGCACACAGGCATTTGGCCAGGAGACTAAGGGAGGGTGCTGGCCAGCAGAAGGCCTCCTCCAGGAGGAGCTAGAGGTGAAGTCGGGTGGACAGGGCCTGGGACCCCCGAGCCCTTGCTGTGGCCCCCACACTTCACAGCAACTCCTCACCTCCTCCACTTCTCATTTGGGTCAGGGACTATTCACAACACCCCCGCCTCCATGCCTCTCCTCTCTGGGCCTTTGCATGAGCTCTTCCCTCTTGTTGAAATGCCCTTTTTTCTTTTGTTCCTTGAAGATGCCTGTTCATCCCTCAGCAAAAATTTCGAGGCTCAGAAGCCCCCTCTCTGGGGAGGACTCTGCTATCTGCCGCCCCGCCCATAGCTTTTATAGTGCCTCTCCCCTCATTAGGCACATTAAATTATAATTGCCTGCTTGATTCTCCCCCCCACCCCCAATACCAGAAGCATTTGGGGACAGGGAGTGGTCAGCTCCTACTGTGGTTCTACTGTGTACAGAAGAGGGCCAGACATGTAGCTGGTGGTTTGTAAATGCATGCTGAATGAATGAATGGAGAATGACGGAGCATGATGAGGAAGAGGCAGAAGGGAAAGAAGTGGAGGACAAAGCCGGGACATCCTGAGAAGGGGGAAGAGATTCATTGGCATGCAGGAGGAAGAACAGGGCGGTGGGGAAGAGAACGGGGAGGGAGAAGAAAGGGGTGGACAGAATGCACCAACCTGGGGAGGTCAGGCCTCATTCTGCTTCTGAAGTCTCTGTAGTTCTTCCTCTGAATTTCAGAGCAACTGCTACCCGGTGCCAGCATGCCTTCCAGTACTCAGCCACCTTCTCATGAAGCCTGGGATGTGATTCTTTCTCCTCCAGCTCTTTCCCGAGGGGCACTGGTACCTCGTGGACCTTGAATGTGCTACTAGAAATGGGGTGGTCTGGGCACAGCATGGACCTCAGATCACCCACACCTTTTTTCACACATTTTCAATGATTCATTTCCAAGTTGCATGGGTGTCCTCACTATGTCCTGATGGCAGGGATGGGGACTGGGAGAGAGGATGCTCCTTCACGGCTCCCTGTACACATAAAACGCTCTGTCCTGAGCACTTCCACTCCCAAGCATCCTGACTTGAGCTCAGCAGCCAAGGTTATCTCACCTCCCCTGAGCCTGGCCCTGGGCCAGCAGGAGGGGCTCAGCCATGTGTCAGGGAGACAGGACTTGTTGAAGCTGACATATTTCCCACATGCTCCCATAAATGAGCCAGAATGTGACAACCAGGAGTGTTGATATCTGGGGAAGGGAGTCTGGCCTTGGCCACATGATTTAGGGATTGGGGTTCTGGGCTCCTCTCCTTTACTGGCTGTGACAGAGGCTGGCCCACCTCCTGCCCACAGGCCATCTCACCCAGTGTGAGAAAGGGACCCCCCCTCCCCGCCAGCCCAGCTTGAGCACTGAGGGGTGGGCCCGAGCAGCCATTTACCAGGCCTCCTGGCCCGGGGCTGCCCTCAGTGCTGCTAGCAGCACCGACTTCTCCCCAAGCAGCCAGACACGCTCTGCCTCCAGGGCCTGCATGTGGCACTCCAACACCGTCTTCTCTCCTTGCAGCTGCCGCAGCTGCTCCAAGCAGGCCCCTAGCTGCTGGGGGCTCTGGCCCAGCTCTTCTGAGTCTCTTGTTCACCTGTGAAGACCCCGCTCCATCCTGAGTCATGGCTCAGCCTCCCCTGGCTGGGATCTGTCTGCTTGAGCTAGCCCGTGGGCCTTTACCCACGCAGCTCCCTCCTCCCGAGTTCCTGACCTCCGCATCCTCTGAGAGTCAACTCTTCCAGGAGCCCTTCTCTGACCACCCCAGCCCACAGAGGCTTCTCAGAACTCCAGGCTTCAACTCTGGACCAAATGATTTGAGGCTGGACAGTCCCTGGCTTCCCACCAGCAGAGGGTGCTGTTTTGGTGGACAAGGATGTGAACGGTGCTCACTGGAGTTGGGCTGTGTGTGGGCCCGGCTCCAAGCTGTCCCTCCTGGTCGTTCTCTTTTCCATGGTGTCCTTAGGGCCACTCAACCTCAGAATCCCCCAAGGACAGGGCCCAGGTTCCCCTGCTTCTCTGCTCCCTGGCACAGGTGGGCATAGCCTGGCTCATTTGGTACCCTGGGTTCCCTGCAGGACTGACCATTTCCCTGTCTTGACCCACCTGGGTGAGCATCAGCAGCCGTTCCTGCAGGAAGGTTGTATCTTGAGCCTGTGCAGGGGTCTCAGCTACCGCCATCGAGAATCCATCTGGGCCCTGAAGTGCCTGGGCCCTGTTGCCATCCCAACTCTGCTCCTGGCCTTGCAGGCCTGGCACCAGCATCTCCTGCAGGTACACTCAGTCTAGGGGGCTCCTCCTAATCTTCAGACCACACTGTTATGACCCTGAACAAGCTTTTCCCTAACCATCTGGACTGTTTTCCCATCTGAACCGTGAGAGGAGTCAGCTGGATGATCGCAGGGTCTTCCCAAATGTTTGGGAGAGGGGCGTCCCTCTTGGGCGGAACAGAAGCCCCTGCACTGGCCTCCTTCCCCAGCTACTGCTCCAAGAATGAAGACCTGGGAGTGAAGTGTAGGGAGGGCCGAATGCGCAGGAGGGCCAGTGTTCAGGGCCCTGTCATGCACCCACGTGGATGAGGGGCTCTGGTCATCCCTACCTCAGGGGGCCCCAGGCTGAGCTCTGGGCCAAGAGACTGTCGGCCCATCTGGTCCAAACACTGCTGGGCCTTTTCCACTTCTGTCTGCAGTAAGTAGCAGGATCATGGGGGCAGAAGGGACTGTCTGCCCGTCCTCTGCCACTCTGCCCCTCCCCCATCTCTAAGCACCCTCACTTGTCTTCTGCGTCCTGGTCTGGCCTCCTCCACTCCTCCTGTCTCTGGGAACCCCACAGCCTCTCCTGCTCCAGGTGGGCCACAGAGCATTTCACCTGCTGGGGGGAGGGCTGAAGGTAGCACAAGCCCCTGGAGAGGGCTGGCCCAGCCTCACGACACACATCCCCCACCCCCCGCAGGGCAGCGTCTGCAGCCCCTGATAAAGCAGGCTCACTCCACAAGCCCCTGCCTGCTCCACCAGCTGTGATAAGCCCAGCTGGGGGCCCAGCATGGACCTGGAGCTGCACAGCTATTATCACTACTGGCTCTAGATGTAAAACCCTCCACCTCCAGCTGGACACAAGACACATCACCTTCTCCAGCCCAGCTCCTGATGGCTTTGGAGCTCCAGCAAGAGTACAGGGGCTGGGACTTCCCTGGTGGCGCAGTGGTTAAGAATCCTCCTGCCAATGCAGGGGACACAGGTTCAAGCCCTGGTCCGGGAAGATTCCACATGTCATGGAGTAACTAAGCCCATGTGCCACAACTACTGAAGCCCGTGTGCCTAGAGCCCATGCTCTGCAGCAAGAGAAGCCACCACAGTGAGAAGTCGGCGCACTGCGACGAAGAGTAGCCCCTGCTCGCCGCAACTAGAGAAAGCCCGCCGGTGGCAACGAAGACCCAACACAGCCAAAAATAAATAAATATATTTTAAAAAAACAAACAAAAAAAAAGAGTACAGGGGCTGCTGCTGTGGAATGCTGGAGAGTGGGCAGGCATGTCAACTGGGTTCCCGGGGTCCTCCCTGGCTGGTAGGGAGCAGTGGCTCTAGGAGGGTCAGCTGTGGGCTGAGACCACCAGGTCACATAAAGGCTTAGGTATCTAGGCCATCACAGGGTGGCACTGTCCATACTCTCACATGCGGCAGGGATGCTGGGTACCTCCCCTAGAAGCCTCAGTGTGCATCACCCTCCCTCCCTCCCTGGGGACTGAAACTTCACCAGGGGTGATTGGGCTTCTGAGGAAACTCCTCTGTCCACTGAGCTAAAACCAGCCACCTCCTTCCCTCTTATTCTACCTGGGAGGGGAAGGGCAGAGGTTCCCTGGGCCTTCCTTTGCCTCTATCCACTGCTCCCAGCCACACCAGGCAATGCACTGCACACCTCCAGGGGGTGCCATTCACAGAGATGACACTTTCAACATGGTAGCCCTGTTGGGGACTCACGGGGAGAGGACCAGAGCCTCACTTTCTGCTTCGGAGCCAGCAGCTCACACTGGGTCCTGCCGAGTCCCAGCCTGCATCCCTGCTTCTGCAGCACCTGTGCTTGCTCAGACAGGGCCTCCAGGGCTGCCCGCAGGCGGCCAGCCAGCTCAGCCCGCTGCTACCTGCTCTCTGCCAGCCACACCCGCAGGTTCTTCTCTGACCACTCCCAGCTTCCCTCAGGGGCCCCGTCAGAGCACCTGCCAGGAAAAGGGCAGTCAGGCTTCGGCCCAGGCCCCAGCGACTGCCATGCCCAGCTTCCCCACACTCACCTGCATCCTTCAGTGGGGCTCAGTGGGTGAGCACAGTCCAGTAGCTAGGGGTGATGGCAGTGCCGGGAACAGCAGGCAGCACCAGGCATCAGGCCCGTGGGGCTCTCAGTGGGTCCTGACAGCAGGATAGAGGGGAGACCCTGGAGCTGGGGCACACCTGCCCTCCCAGAGCACCAGCCTCTGAGGCCTCGCCTCAGATATGGAAACAGGCCCTGGGGCTGAGTGGGCACTTAAACCCTTCAACCCCAAACTTTCGCCCAGGATTCTCCCTGGTGATTCGGATTTCAAATAAACACCAGCCTCAACCTCGCTAAACAGTTCTAAGTTCCAAGATTCCATGATCTGTGGGTGCTATGGCCCAGCTACTTGCTGAACAAACACGGGGTCATTTGATCCTCCCGGGTTTGGGGTGGGGGGACTGAAGTTCAGAGGGGAAATCAGTTGCCCCGAGTCACGCAGGTAGTCAGTCCACTGCAAACTGGGCCCACATTCCTCCATCCTGCTGCTCTCCTTCCCAGTGTGGGAGCCTAGAAATGGCCGGGGCCAGGGAACATCTGGGGAGACGCCGTATTTTAGCTCTGATGTAGGGGGTCAGAAGCCCTCAAATCACGTCACTGCTCCAGTACCTCTCTGGCTTTCAGAGCTTCAGCTGTAAGGTGGGGGCCCTGACCCGTAACTGACCTGCCTACTCCTCACATTCCCAGACCCGTCCCTGCTCAGGATTGTAGCACCACCCACCAGGCCCTCTCCCTTCTGGACACCTCGACTCTCTCCTCTCCCGACTCCAGGTTCAGGTTACTGTAGCTCCCTCCTGGGCTGTCTCCCTCCACTTTACCAGCACACAAGGCCTCTCCAAAATGGACCATGAGGACCAGTCCCTGCCCCCCTCCTTCCACACCCTGCATAGCACCCACAATTTCACACTGGCTGGGTGCTCCATCTTTCCCACTTAGAGGCAGGGGCTCGCTATGGGCAGCCCCCAGCCCTTACTGAGACTCGGAGCTTGCCTGGCTTGGTTTGCGGGGGGCGCTCATGGTCTACCAGAGTGGGGAGTGGTACAGGTCAGGCTGTTGAGCTTGTGGAGCCAGCGCAGAGGGAAGCACAGCCACCAAGTGCCATGGCAGCAGAGAGAAGGGAGTCAGACCCTTCCTTGGGGCTCCCAGAAAGGCTTTCCAGGGTGACCCTTGGGCTAAGGCCTGAAGGTGAGTTAACTGCCCTGGAAAGGGCAAAGATGGATGTGGCAGATAGAAGAGAGCAAGGGCAGGAGGACAAGGAGGGGATCAGAGAAGGTGGGGCCTGGGGGGAGAGGTGAGCTGAGCCAAGAGCACAGGGGGGCAAAAGGGAGATCAAGGGGGCCATAGTTGCTGTGGGGCTCAGGTGGCTGGTGGCAGGGCACAGGGCAGAGGCATCTCCTTGGTGTCCTCAACCAGCACAGAAAAGACTTGGCAGGCACATGGGTTGAGGCCCAGAGAAAGAGCGTGGACCTGAGGGGCGGAGGATGTGAGCAAACCTTCTCTGAAGGTGCTCCAGGCCCTTGACCTCCCCAGCCACCAGTTGCCAAGGTCTCAGCCATCCAGCACTGGAGGTATGAGGGAGGTGGGGTGGGGTGAACTGGGGGTGGTGGAGTTACCCATACTTCACTTTCCTCAAGTGCCTCTCTTCTAGGTGTGAGTTCTTAGGAACAAAGAGACAAAAGAATGAGGCTCTAAGGTAGAACTTCAGGCAGGACAGCCGCTGGACTGAAGATTTTAGAGGGGGAGCTGGGAGATGGCGCCTATCCTGCTTCTAAAAAAGAAAGCTCTGCTTCTTTACTGGGAGGCGGGGACTCCTGTGTTCTCGATGGTGGGAGGGCTAGCGGGAAGAGGGTCCGACTTACCCCCTCAGAGCCTGGCGCCCAGGTCAGGGCTAGGGACAGGAGCCTCTCTGAGCTCCTCCACCCTCAGCTGCTGACGCGATCGCGGCTTCCAGGAGCCATGGAAACTGCGGGCAACACCAAGCGGTGGGAGAAGGAGACACCAGAGTCCTCCCACCTCGTCTGAGTGGATGAAACCCTTAGATGAAACTCGGCTGGTACGGCTGCGGGCCATAGGCCAAGCTTTCGGGCCCAGGAAAGAATGGCAACTCAGAAGCTCCGACCCTTGAGGCAGGAGCCTAAAGGGGCGGGATCTAGGGGCACAGACAGCCGGGCTCTTGGTCATCAACTCCACACTAGAAGCGGCTGCTGAATTTCTATACTGGGGGGGAATGGGTGCATTTGGTTGGCGGGGGACCGGGAGCCGGTTTTGAGGCTGCAGTAGTGTAGCAAGCATCCCGTTTTTACCTAACTTCTGTTTACTTCCGGTAGGGGTGGTGGAACTAACGGAGATTTCGGGGGAACCAAGCACCCGCTCAAGCCACGCCGTCAGACCCCAGTTTAAGGGGGAGCCAGAGGCTAGAGACTGGAGAGCCCTCCCTAACTCCCGAGGGGGCGGCTCCGCTCCGACAGCGCCTGGTGGCTGGGAGGTGACGACTCGCAACAGGGGCGTGCCCAGCCTCATTGGGGAGGGGCCGGGGGCGGGGCCGGGGAGAGGGATGGCTGGCGGCCAGGCCCCGCGGTGCTGTCCCGGGGAGGGGTGGGGTCTGGAGGGATGCTCTGTCCCCGGCGTGGCGCGGGGGCAGTTAGAGGACGCTCCCACCCGCTTTGCTGAGCGATGCCAACTAGAGCCCGGGGGCGGGGAGTGTGGGGACCTCACAAACAGTGAAGTCTTCCAAAGGACCCGACCTAGGTTTTCTCATCTGGAAACAGGGCCTCGTTATTCCGCTCTGACCACGCGCGGGGCAAGTAGGTGGGCGGGGCTTTGGTGAGCCCACGCTCGCGGCCCGGGCAAAGGGGTCGCCGAGTGACTCCGGGTCAGCCCGCGGCGGGGCACAGGGCTTTTGTTTGGCGGGGGTTTACAAACTGAGAAACAATGCCGGTCCGCTTAGTGCCGTCCTCCAAGGATGCTCAAGGGAAAGGAGACACGCCCCGCCCCTCTCTTCCAGACCCCATCCCTCCAGAGGCCCCGCCTACGTGACTCTCCGGTATCTTCTCAGAAACTGCTGTGCACCTACGGCTTGCCGCCACGGCTTAAAAAAACCTCCACACAAAGAGAATAAGATCTCATTTGCTTCTTCCACATAACTGGGAGTCGGGACAGCCTTCCCGAGCCTTCCGTGATCTTTAGCGCCCTCCTGGGCCCCGGAGCCAGGCGGGCGTCAAGGCCCGCCAGGTTTTCACTGGGGCGACAGAGAAACAATGCCCTCCTCCCGGCACGCAGGAAAGGGACAGGCAGGCACAGGCGGGGCTGGGGCTCCACCTTTGGGCTTCCGGCGCCGTCGGCCGGGGACGCCCCCGTCGCGTCTTTGGGGCCTACGTGCGACGCGACACGGGGGAAGGCGGGCCGCGGCCGGGGACTTCCTCTCGGCCCTCCCGGAACCAGGCTCCGCAGTTGCCTCACCGACCTGCGCTGAGAAGGCGGGTCCTCCAGAGCCTTCGAGTCGAAGGCTAGAGCGGCCAAGCCGCCGAGCCGGGTCGAGCCCGGGCTGGCGACGGCTGCGTCACGCAAGGGGCGGGGCTGCCACGGGCGGAGGCCGGAGCCGGAAGCGGAAGAGGCGCTCGAAGCGGGGAGTGGGGCCTAGCTGCAGCCGGAGCCTGGGAGAGGGTGAGTATGGGGTCCGGGGCCGCGACGGGAGCGGTGGCGGGCGGTGAGTCGGAGGGGTGGGCGCGCTGGGTGTGGATCCCAGGGCTCCCGGATCGATCTCAGGCTACTCTCTTTCGTTTACTTCTCGGTCTACTTCAGGCCGCGGACCCGACCTCTCACCCCTGACCCGTCGCTTCTCCCCCAGAGGGCGGTCACCGCAGACCCCGATCTCTCGATCCCGCGTGTCGGAGTCCGAGCCTAAGAGGCCTCTGAGGCCCCTGCAGGGATACTGTTTGGGCCCTGCACCCGCCCGCGGAGTGGGATCGGGGTCCTACCTGGGATAGCCTGGAGGGGCTTTCGGACCCCTCCCCTACCCCCGGCTCGAGGCTTAGTTCGCACACTCCTCTTCCCCGCGCGGCTTGGGAGTTTGATTCCGGCCCAAGCTGGCCTTCCCCTCCTCTCCCTCCCCTCCCCCTCCCCCTCCCCCTCCCCCTCCCCCAGGTCTCCCCTCGCCTCCACTGGCGGCGGTTACGGGGGACGGGGCTCTGAGATCTCTGGAGAGGCGTCAGGAGGGGACGCGAGCGAGGACCTCAGGCCCCCTGCGTGTTTTGTTGTGATGCTGGATCCGCTCCAGCCCGGAGGAGGGGCCCGGCCAAGCTGACAGTACAGATGCCCGGGCTGCTCCTCGGTCCGGGAATCTCTGTCCTTTAGTTCCGGGTGCTGGTGTCCTGGTGTGGAGCTGGGGTGGGAATCGCCTGAGCCAGGGCTCCGTCGAGGCGGAGTTGGCGGCCTTCCAGCTTCCCTCCTCCATGCCCTTGAAAAGGAGGAGCGTTTCACCCGATGGTGGCGGCTTGCAAGGTGGCAGGTTTGAGGTTGCAGCGGTGGGGCAGCGTCAGCCAAAAATAACCATGGGGCGCTGGGGTGGCTGGAATCCGGGAGGGCAGCCACTGACCTGGCTGGCTGCTCTTCTTGTCAGCCCAGTTCTCTGGCCAGGACCAGCAAATGAGAAGACGACTAGGCCCGTGCTCAGAGAAAAGCTGGCATCCTCCGCCTGGTTTCCTTCACCTTACCTTTTTCTTCATTGTGCAGAGGCAGAGCCTTCCAGAGCATATCTTAACAACCTGTTTTCCGAGGTCTCAGAGAATCAGAGATAATTGATGAGAAATGGGCCCTAGAGCCCTAACTGGGAAGATAATGAGGAGCATCTGGTATTCCCAATATTTCACTTGCCTAGAATGTGTTAAAGGAGAAGTTATATCCTCTATGATTGCTTTGTGTGTGATGTCTCATATAGCTTTCATACTTATCATCTCCTTTGCCAAGTTGGCTGGGGGGTCGTGTCATCTCCATTTTCCAGGTATGGTAACCAAGGCCCAGTGTATAAGGTCACGAGGCCAGTAAGGCAGCACTGGGATTTCGTTCAGGGTTTTCTACCCGGATCTCTCTCTTCTCTGGGCCCTTGGAAGGGACTTAAAAATGTCCTTAATACCCTTAGGGCATTTAACACAGACCCCGAGTTGTTTCCTGGAAACTTTTTTTTTTTTTTTTGCGATACACAGGCTTCTCACCATTGTGGCCTCTCCCGTTGTGGAGCACAGGCTCCGGACACGCAGGCTCAGTGGCCATGGCTCACGGGCCCAGCCACTCCATGGCATGTGGGATCTTCCCGGACTGGGGCACGAACCCGTGTCCCCTGCATCGGCAGGCGGACTCTCAACCACTGCGCCACCAGGGAAGCCCCCTGGAACCTTTTTAATGTTGCTGATGTAAAGCTGCCTTCAGTACCTCTTGTGGGCCCAGACCTGTGCTAGGCCTTTGACCTAAAGGCATGTACTAGGCATGTTACTTAAAGGAGTGATATAATTTAATCTGCACAGAGTCCTGTAAGAGATTATTATCCCCTTGTTGCAAGAGGAAGTTGAAGGTTAGACTTGTTTAATAACTTGCCTAAAGGCACAAGCTAGAAGTGGCAGTGCCAGGATTCAGATTGACATCTGAAGCTGTGCTCTTTCCACTTACATGAGCATATATAAGAATCTTCTGGGTCCCAGGAGAGAGTCTTTGGCCTGTGTAGACTAGACCATGTCTTCCAGGTCTGGTGCTTTGCCCAGTGAGGATGGGCAGGGCCTTTGTCCTGGCCATTGGAACATCTTCCTTGTCACTTATTGAGATGTGAGATACTGCCTTCATTCCATCGCTTAGGCACCTGACCCAGCCATAATTGCAGGGAAACAGTGAAATATTAGTCAAAACAGAACAGCTCTTGAGGAGCTGTTACAGAGTATTTATCTCCAAGGGTTGCTGTGGCCTGGGCTTCCAGGTAGAGGGCAGAAGACAGCTGCTAGCGGGGAGATTGAGGGCAGTGACTTTCTCAGGATTGCAGACAAGCTCCCAGGGGTTTTGTCAGATATGCCTCACTGACCTGCTCGTTTAAGGAGAGCCATTCCATTCTGTTCTCCTCCAGACAGACCCTTCTTATAAGATGAGACAGCCTCAGTGGATTTGTCCAAAATGTGCTTGATCAGGCAAGCCCAAGACTGACCACCATTGGTTGGCTATGGCCAAGTGAAAGGTTGGGAGGAAGGCTGGCTACGGTCTCTGGCCCAGCCCTCCTGTGGAGGCAGTGTCAGGGTTTGGGGTTTGGGTGGAACAGGGAGCTGGCTTCACATAGCCATCTTTCTCAGCTGATGGCTGATCCAACCTGGCAATTTTCTGTGGTGGGTGTAAGTCCCTACTGAACCAGGAATAGTGAGATGGAGCCCTTTTGGCCTGCCTCCCCGAGCCCAAAGCCTGCCAGACAGCCAGGCTTCTGACTTCTCCTGAGATGGGCACAGAAGAGGATACTGGAGCAGGGAATCTAGAAGAGGGCACAGTGATGGTACTGTTGGAGGTGAGGCACTGCCTGGCATGGCACCAGTGGCAGGTGGTCTGCGGGTGCTAAATAGGCCTCGGGCAAGTGACTTGGTTGCTCTGAAGACCCTGGCATCTTTACAGATACTAGGACTGACTGTAGACCAACAAGGGCTGGATAGACCCCCATGTCTGCTTGGCCAGACCCTCAGGTAGCCTAGGGAATGTTTGTGGGACCCTCTTTGTCCAAGGGCTGGTCTTCTCCATTCTGCTTGTGGCTCCTCACACTGATTTGTGGTCCTTGAGCAGAGCACAGTTCAGGGCCTCAGCCAGGCAACCTGGCTTCTCAAACTCGAGGGCCTTCACTCCTTGCTCCTGTGTATTGGCTCCCTGCCAGCAGCCTTTTGACTCTGGCCTCTGGCTCGACAGAACAGGCACTTCATAGGACCCTACAGACAGGCAGGAGGGAATTGAGCACAGGAGGCTCCCTTTCTACTTGGCCTTGGTCTCCTGTGATGGTGCTCACCAGCCCCTCCCTGCATTCTGCCTCGGCACCTGTCCTGGCTCTCCAGGTTCCCTGAGTGCTCAGGCCACCAGGCCAATGATGCTGTGCTGGGGAGGCAGCTGCTTGTTTGTTCTCTGGTGAAGGGTGTTACCCATTGTCTGCTGTTTGACCAGTGTGACCTCAGAGTTCTTCACTTCATAAACCCCTGGGAGGGGCTGCCCCCAGACAGAACAATGGGCCTCTTCTTCAGGAGCGCCTAGGCTGCCCGGGCAGCCCTGTGGCTGGCTGCGTGCTTAGCAGGGCTTTTATTTCTCATGGCCTAGATGCATCACTGTAAGCGATACCGCTCCCCTGAGCCAGACCCGTACCTGAGCTACCGATGGAAGAGGAGGAGGTCTTACAGTCGGGAGCATGAAGGGAGACTGCGATACCCCTCTCGAAGGGAGCCTCCGCCCCGGAGATCTCGGTCTAGAAGGTGAGGGGGAACTAGGTCGGAAGAAAGGATTCCTTTCCACTTCCGGGCTAGGGAGACAGCCTGGAGGCTTGTGGCAGCCCTGGGCCTCTTCAGGTGACTGCCGCCTCTGCCCGGCTGCACATTGATCGCTGCCCTGTCCTCTTCAGGCTCTTCCCCTGTTCCCCTTGCAATTCCCCTGCATTCCCTGGCCTCAGTTCGCCACCATCCATGCCACCCCTTCTTTCTCTATCCTTGAGTCTTCCTTCTCCTGACACATTCCCCCGTTTTCTAGGCCAGCATCTCCCCTGCTAACCTCTGAGCCTTCCTCATTTTGGATTGGGAACATAACCTCAGCCCTTTCCAGATATTGGTCCCTGGTCTTATCTCAGTCCCCAGACCAAAATAACAGTCTCTGCAGGCCACAGAGAGCTCTGGGATGGGGGACCCTCAGAGGTCCTCCACCATGCTCACCTTTCCCAGTGCTCTGCCTCCTGTGGCGCTGGAGGGGTGCTGTCAGGAGCTGGGGTTCTGGAGGTTGGATTTCACGCACACGTGCCCACCCCCCCCGCACTTCCCCTAGTCTGGACGCCTCTGCTCCCACAGGCTACCCTTGTGAGCCCTTTGCAGGGGCCCCACCACATGAGTCTTGATTAGTAGCAGGAGCCCGGTTGGTGGGAGGAAGCTCTGACCAGTGTACCTATCCCGGTCTTGGCAGCCATGACCGCCTGCCCTACCAGAGGAGATACCGGGAGCACCGTGACAGTGACACGTACCGGTGTGAAGAGCGGAGCCCATCCTTTGGAGAGGACTACTATGGATCTTCACGTTGCCATCATCGTCGGCGGTCACGGGAAAGGGAGCCATACCGGACCCGCAAGCATGCCCACCACTGCCACAAACGCCGCACCAGGTCTTGTAGCAGCGCCTCCTCGGTGAGTGGTGGCCAGAGTGTGCTGGCTGGGGCTTAAAGGCCTCGTCTCTTTCTAGCCTTCTCTCAGGCTGGCTGGTCTGGGTGAGTACTGCCAGCTCTGCGCACGTGCATTTGGTGTGCCTGCATGTGTGTGTGTATGTGTTGTCTGGTCCAGGTGCAGGGCTGGGCAGGGGCCCGGCTCCTCTATCTTCTGGCCCATGGGCAGTGGCAACTTAAGGGCTCTGGTTCCGGCGCTGGCTGGTCCCCAGCCTATCTGTGTCTCCACACCGCTCCAGGACAGGCCACATGCGCAAGTAGCCAGAGACACTTCTTCAGAATCCTTAATAGGGTGGCTGGTACGTGGTCTGGGGCTGTATGGCCTGGTCTTCCCCACCCAGAGATTGCCCCCCACACAGCTGAGTGCTCCGACTGGTATGGACTGCATCCACCTCTGCAGTCTCTTCTCCACGCCCCTCACCAAAGGCCTGGAGGCTGGAGTGCCCACGGGTAGGGGAGGGCCCGTCAATTAGCATGGACTGGGACCTTCCCTCTGACCCCCAGTCAGGTCCTCTGCAGCCTAGCCTCTTCACGTGAGGGGCAGTCAAGTCAAGGGGGATGAGCTGCCTGTGTGGTGGGGCATGTGAAGAAATGGCAAAAGGCCCGCAGCTCCAGGCCTTGTCCAGCTGCAGGCCACATGCCCAGAGCAGGGCCTGGAAACATCCTTAATGTGAAGGGTTGTACAGAAGGGTCTCTGCTGAGACCAGGAAACCACACTGTGCTCAGACCTCTGGGAAGGAAGGCCAGTTGTGTATCTCTGCGGGTGTATGCTGTCTTCTCTTCTCTTCCCCAGCTCTCTTCCCTCCCTCACTCGCTCCCGGCCGTGAGGCCCCTGAGGAGTAGTGGTGCAACAGTGGAGGGGGGCCAGGCGTCTTCTCTGCCGAGCTTTCCCGTGGTTCTTTGAGTGGCCACGGGTTGAGGTTGACTGGGCACCCGGCATGGCCCGGTGGCCTCTCTGCACACTGCCACAGGATGGTAGTGCAGGTCTGTGGCTCTGCTTCTTCTCTTTTTGGTGCCCTCTGTCGTCATGAGGCTCAGGATGGGCCGGGCCTGGCCTGTGAGTAGCATAGGTGCCAAGGCCAGGGCAGGAGCTGGCTTGGGGCCTGTGTGGGCCATCGTGGTGGTAGGCCTTGGAGAGTCGACTGGCCCAGAGGATCCAGGGCTCCTTCCCTGCTCAAGGCTGGTGGCACAAGGGCTGCTGACGGAAGGCCGTTTCTGCTGGTGATGTTAATTAAGTCTGGCCACGGATGCCGTCTAGGGACAGGTGGCAGCTGTCGGGCATGTGCAGGACTGCGTGGGCGAACAGAGGCAGGCAAGGACAGGGCATTCTGCAGCTGAAGCCAGCCAGAGTGGCCTCTGACCATTCTGGATGATCGGACCCAGGCTGGGCCAGCCATCTTCTTGCGCCGTTCTCACTGCGTCTCCACCCTAGCCGAAGCCATCATGGGAGGGCCCGGGAGGGGGAGACTCAGTGGAGGAGGGAGTCAGGCCTGTGACTCTCTACACGGCAGCCCCTCAGCAGCAGAGGCTGGTTGTCTTTCTGAGCATTTGCGGCGCCCTTCTCTTAGATAATGTCCGAGTTTTCTTTACATACCTGTAGCTGTTTTTACTTTTCTGTTTTTGAAGTCAGTTTGTGTCTTGACGTGTCCCTTGCAATATCCCTATCGTTATATATGCTGTGTGCCTTATGAAATGCTGGGATCTGGAAAATCCAATCAACCAACCCACCGGCTCCTCACCGTCTCCACCTCTGCCTTTGACTGACACCTCAATCTGTCAATCGGAACCGCCTACCATGCGATTGGTCGGATGGCGTTTCGGGGGGCGGTGCATGCAGAGAAGCCAACAGAGCAGTAAGCGCAGCAGCCGGAGTGTGGAAGATGACAAGGAGGGCCACCTGGTGTGCCGGATCGGCGATTGGCTCCAAGAGCGATGTACAGCCACCTTTCGTAAAACTTTACCTCTCTACTTTCTATCCCCCTTGTTAGACGAGACCTCTCCTGCCTGGAGGGGCCTCTAGTGCGCGTGGCGCCTTAGCGGGGCCACCAGTAATTGCCTGAATGACACAGACGCTAGCAACTTCCGTTTTTAAGAGTGTAGCAGTGAGAGAGAAACCTTTTTTGTTTTTGAGAATTTGAATGCTGTGAACTTGCAGGAGCTGCCGATCCTCTGTCCTCCAGATCCTCATGCCCTGTTTCTTTTCTCTCCTAGATGAGATCGTGGGGAACCTGGGTGAAGGCACCTTTGGCAAGGTGGTGGAGTGCTTGGACCATGCCAGGTGAGCCATCTTCCTGGGAAGAGTTGGCCTGAGGTTCTTGAAGGTGGTGGCAGAGCTTAACCTCTTTCTTTTTGAAGCGTAGCACCAAAGCAGAGTTCTGACCTGTGCATATTGGGGTTGTGCTGATCCCCTGAATTAGGGAGAAATTCTTGGGATTCCATAGGCATGTGGCATCTCTGCCCAAGAACTGCTGGTCAGTGAATGGCGCTGCCCCAGTTTCCCCACTTCCCCAGGACTGTGGTTGCGGATATCAGAACAGGGCAAGGCCCTGGCTCCTCCGTGGTCTGGATCTGCTTCCTGTCATCTCTTAGGGTCTGGGCCTGGCAGGGGGTTGAGAGTACTGCTGAGCCCGACTGAAGCATGAGCCCTCACCCTCTGGAGGTCTGCCTGAGAGGCCGTGCAGGCCCCCGCTGAGAGAAGACCCTGGGCTTTCTCACCAGGCAGGCTGCTGCCTTCTCCAGTGTGGCTAGGGTTGGGCCTCTCTGAGTGTGCCGAGGTAGAGCAGGGGTGCACCCGTGTGTGTAGGGGTGCTCCTGGGGGTACCTTGCTCCCTTCTAGACTGAGCAGTGAAAAACATTTCTGTCCCCTTGCCATTCCTCAAGACCAGAAGCCTTGCCTCCTCTACCTTAGGCTGGGAGGCTACCTCCTGGGAGCCCACTGCCTTCCTGCCTTAATGGCCCTCTCTTTGGTTTGGCGCTTTGACCAGAAAGTGCTTGTGTCCTTGCTGTCTCATTTGAGCCACGTGCTGCCCGTATGTGACTTGTGCTATTTTAGAGATGAAGAAACACGCTTGGGGTCTGACTGTATCCCCCAACTGTTGAATGGAGGAGCCGGGTACCGCTGTGCTCGGTTCAGAGGGTTGCTTGGAGAGGACAGTTAGGCCCAGCAGTCCAGCCAGCCATGTGGCCCCAATTTAAGGTAGTGCTTATCACTGAGGAAGCCTCCCTGGGCGCCCAGTTCCCATTTAAACACCCCTCAGACCCCATGTGGCCCAAGAGGTCAGGGCCGGGACCAGTGGGCATAGGGACATGTAGACTATACAGTGACGAGAGAGAGAGATAGGGCAGATCTGAGAGCTGTGCCACATGGGGGCTCTCTGGGCTGTGTCACTCTGAGTAGCTAGATGGAAAGTGAGCCTTTGAAGTCACTAATGGGTAGGCACAGGGCTTAGGGCACCTATAGGGAGTCCAGAGGGAGTTGGTCAGTGGGCTTCAGCTCAGCACAAGGAAGGGCTGTCCAAGCCTGGCAGTAGTTGTGTGGAAGTGACAAGCTCCCTGTGTCGAGGGTCGGAATGCCCTCGAGGGATCCTGTTCTAGGAGGCTGGAGTGGTGGTTTTTCCTCTGAGGTCCTCTCCCGCCCTGAAAATCTGGGAAAATGGGATAGGGAGAGAAAAGCAGGGTGTTCTCTAGAAGATGCCTCTGCCCTGGGACCTGTAAACCTTTCCTCAGGCACCAAGGCCAGCTTCCCAGAGGCTTCAAGGCCACACGTTGCGGGCCAGCGCTTATCATTCTAGTTTCCCCCTGGGCATCTGAACTCTGGCTTTTCCTTCCTGACAGCAGTTGGGCCTAGCAGGCTAACCTCAGCAGATATTCTCTGCTGAGACTCTGCAGGTGGCCTACAGGGCTGGTGCTGGGGGTAAGGGTGGAGGGTGTGGAGCAGGAATTATTAAAATCCTCATGGACACTGAACAAAGGTTCCTGGCAGTCAGTGGTCTCTGATAAATGCTGTGGCTGGTAGGCAGGCAGGTGGGGCCAGGGTGGTGTGCTAAAGGGATCGGCCCTGGGGTTCCCAGGGAGAGGAGCCTGCTGCTGGGGCCCTTACCCTCTTGCCAGGCCCTCACTCCATCCTGGAATCCCAGGAGGAGCAGTTTGCCCAGACTTGTAGATGTGCTCTGGAAGGTCAGGAGGTGCCGCAGAGGGTTCTGAGTGGGACCGCTTGGCCAGGATCAACGGACTGGCCTACAGGTTGGGTTACTGAGTGAGCTCTAGGGCTGGCGCTGGTCAGCAGGATAGGGCTCTACTCCTCTGCCTACGTCCCCGGGAGCTGGCAGTGGCTGAGATCATAAAAGCCTAAGACTGGCACGGATGCCAACAGCAACTTGTTGTTATGAGGGTAGAGGTCTAGTGTTACAGGGGGTAGGCTGGGCATCAAGAATCTGCTGTCTTCAGGGCAGGCCCTGTTCCTGGAGTCCTGAGTAGTGTTTGCCAGGAGTTGCTGGGTTGGGGCGGCGGGTGGGGGGAGGGCTGCACAGCTTCTCATGAGAAATTCTGCTTCCTTCCCTGGTCCAGAGGGAAGTCTCAGGTTGCCCTGAAGATCATCCGCAACGTGGGCAAGTACCGGGAGGCCGCCCGGCTAGAAATCAATGTTCTCAAAAAAATCAAGGAGAAGGACAAAGAGAACAAGTTGTGAGTGTCGGCAAGGAATGGGAGGGAAGCTTCCTAGGGGGCAGCATCTACTCCGGCCCCAACTGCCTGGACCCACTGGGGCTGAGCAGTGCCCTTTCACCTGGTTGGCACCATGCCTTCTGCCGACAGCCAGAGCCAGGGGAGTTTGGCGAGTGAGTCTTGCTGGAAGGAACCTTTGGATTTCAGTCTAGGCCCCACCACAACCAGCTCTGTGTTCTGAGGCGGGCCTCCCCGCCCTGAGTTTGTGAATTGGGGGCTTCATTGGGTTGTGGTGGGCATTAGACAAGATACAAACCCAAAGCTGTTTGGGGCTCTCATGTAGTCAGAGATATCCGAAGGAGAGCCACCTTTGGCACACAGACACTGAGCATTCCCCCTCCAAGCACTGTGCTGAGCCCTGCAGGATCTCAGGAAGCTCAGCTGAGGGAGTGGAAAAAAGCAATGCTTGTTCTGTGGAGTGTACTGGTGTTACTCCACCTCGTTCTCTGAGATGCAGGGATTGTGCCCATAATTTTCTTTCTCTATGTGTATCTGCATCCTGCGTGGGACCCAGCGGCCTGGGAGGGAGTGGGGACTGGCGTCACCTGCGGGGACGGGGTGAGGCAGCCAGCCCCCCCAGCACAGACCCTGAGCCCCATCCATCCTTCTCCTCCAGCCTGTGCGTCTTGATGTCTGACTGGTTCAACTTCCATGGTCACATGTGCATCGCCTTTGAGCTCCTGGGCAAGAACACCTTTGAGTTCCTAAAGGAGAATAACTTCCAGCCTTACCCTCTACCACATGTCCGGCACATGGCCTACCAGCTCTGCCACGCCCTTAGGTGTAAGTTTCCACCCTCAAATGGAGCATGGTCGGCCACATATCTGCAGCAGAGTCACCTGGTGGTCCTGCTCTCCATCATTCGCTCTAGCACATCGTTAACTATTCTTCTGGGCCAGAGACACCAGGGCCCCTTTGGCTGAAAGGCCTTCAGGTAGGAATCTGTGAGGATGGAGAGGCTGCAGTCCCCTCCAGGGGGCCTCCTGAGCTGGGTCTGCCCGCAGGCACTCGGGAAAAATGAAAGAGCCGCTCTAGAATTAGCCCCGTACCACCCCGGTTCCTACCCTCCTGCATAGGATGAAGAGGTCAGAGACTGACCTGGCTGGTCCCACCCACAGATCCTGTCAACATAGACACCCTCTGTCTCACCGTCATTTCCCATCTGTCTGCCAGCCTTTGAGAGCATATCTGGTGGTGCCTGTGCTCAGCACTGCAGGATTTGCAGTGGTTGGAACAGGTCGGGAAGGCTCGTTGGAGAGGAGGTGGATAGACCTAGAGCTAGACTACAGGGTCTGCATAGATGATGGGACGGGAGTGTGTTCCAAGCTAGGTGAGCACTCAGCGACGGCCCAGAGCCTGGCATGTGCTGCAACTCTTTCTGGTGAAGACAGGGCCCATGTTGGGAGAGATGGGCCACACCGTTGTGAGGGTCTTGAGTGCCAGATGGGAAAAGTGATGAGTGGCAGGGTACCACCATCGGTGGGATAGGAGTTGGAGGAAAAAGGCAGACTTCTCCGCGCTCGGGACTGGGGATGAGGAGAGGCAGGACTGGCTTCATTGTTTTGCTTCATAGGGGGCTCTGTGCTTGGTTTAATACTCTGCTGCTGCCATCTTGAGATTCTTAACGTCTGAATAAGACGGCCTGCATTTTCATTTTGCCCTGGGCCTTGCAAATTACGTAGCTGGTGTTGGGGAGAGGGAACCACCCCAAGGCTGATGCTGCAGCTCTGGTGAGAGACAGGTTGAGGAGGCCTGGTCCCCTGCAGACAGGTGGAGGGAGGTTTTATAAATGGAAAAAGTCTCCCCTGCCCCCTCAAGAATCAGAACCTTCCAAGGCCCTAAGCACAGAGAACTCTAGAGAGGGAAGCCAGTACAGAGGCAGTTCAGTCTGCTCCCTTGGCCCACTGCTGAGGTCAGGGGCTGTGAGGGGCTCTGGCAGGCTGACTTTGGAGGAGGGAGCTGGCCTAGCGCTGGCAGGTGCACCAGAGAGGAAGCCCAGGTTTTCAGTGTCTGCTTCCCTCCTCTCCTGCTTCCCCAGTTCTACATGAGAACCAACTGACCCACACAGACTTGAAGCCAGAGAACATCCTGTTTGTGAATTCTGAGTTTGAAACTCTCTACAATGAGCACAAGGTATTGGTGGGGGAAAAGATTGAGGCCCTGTTCCAGGGGTGTGTACCCACCAGGACAGACTCGACCTGGCTCACCTTCCTTGCCCTTCAGAGCTGTGAGGAGAAGTCGGTGAAGAACACCAGCATCCGAGTGGCTGACTTTGGCAGTGCTACCTTTGACCACGAGCATCACACGACCATTGTGGCCACCCGTCACTATCGCCCGCCTGAGGTGATCCTGGGTGAGTGACTGTGTAGCTCCCAACCCTGATAAAGCGGGCAGTTGTTGGGAGGGTATAAACAGAGAGTGAGGTGCCTGTCCACCACCTGAGGCCAGTGTCCTGAGTCACTATGGCTGTTGACTTGGCCTTACCAAGAAAGAGACTTCTACTGGCTTTGGGGCAGGAGCTTTGCCAGGCAGTGTGGTAGCTACACTGTGACCTCTAGGCTGGGAACACAGGGCTGAATCTCATAGCCTGTCCCATCTTGGCTTTCAGAGCTGGGCTGGGCACAGCCCTGCGACGTCTGGAGCATTGGCTGCATTCTCTTTGAGTACTACCGGGGCTTCACACTCTTCCAGGTAAGGCCTCTCCCACATCACCCCACGACCCTAAGCGCTGCTACTCTGACAGGCTGCAGAGGCCTAGTGTGGGACCGCTGCCCACCAGTCAGCATGTTGTGAGATTGTCTCCTGAGGGTTGTAGATGCTCAGGGGAAGGAAGAGGTCAGGGTAGCTGGAACACTCAGGGACTCGTGGTCAGCCATCAAGGATGGAGGATTGGGGTGGGAGGAGTGAGCATTCCAGGCAAGGGGCACCGCCTGAGTGAGGGCATGGAGGTGGGCTGGGGCAGGGCACCTTCTGGGGAGAGAGTGAGGAACGTAGCCAAAAAGAGGTGTGTAGTTATGCAGTGCACCTGAAGGGTCAAGGAGTCTGACCGTGACCCTGAGAAAACAGGCTGGCCTCATCCCTGGTCCCAGGCTGCCACCAGGTCAGAAAGGCTGGGACTGCTATTCCACTGGTGGGTTTGCATCTCCCGGGGCAGGAAGGGAACTTGCCCATCTTTTTTGTCCTTTATTCCCTGAGGGACCCTAAGGGGGCAGAGGCTGGCAACTGACCCCCACTTGCTGTGTCCCTAACCTTCCACAGACGCACGAAAACCGAGAGCATTTGGTGATGATGGAGAAGATCCTAGGGCCCATCCCATCACACATGATCCACCGTACCAGGTAAGGAGTCCTGGTTGCTCCCGCAGGGCTGGCCTAGGGGCCTTTCCCATCTTGGAATGACCTGGCAAACCTGTTGCCGAGACCTTCCTGCTGGGTCAGGCCAGGATCCCCTGCCTTGCTTTGCTGCCATTCCTCAGGCTGCCACTGTCTTTCCCAGTTAAGACTTGATCCTTCCTGTCCTTTGTTTTCAGGAAGCAGAAATATTTTTACAAAGGGGGCCTGGTTTGGGATGAGAACAGCTCTGACGGCCGGTATGTGAAGGAGAACTGCAAACCTCTTAAGGTCAGTTTCTGGCTTCCCCCAGCTCAACTTATGCCAAGGAGACCCCAGGCACTGGGCAGACACACAGCAGAGAGACAGGCCAGGCAGCTACAGGCTGCCTCCTGGTTCCGGCCCTATGGGAGGCTGTGCCTAAGGTTGCTGGGTGCTGGCAGTGGGGCTTCTTGCAAACTGCCCCAGAGGGGCCCTTAGCTCTACCCCTTCCCCACAGGGTGGCTGTGAATGTAATTGGGGAACACCAGAAGAGCCAGATGTCAGAGACCGTGCTACTTCCTGCCCCATCTTCTTTCAATTTTGGGAAGAACTAGGCAGGACTGAGGTGAGGGGTAGGGAAGACCTAGACATGGCCAGGAAGCCTCTGTCAACTGCATTTGGTGCTTGGACAAGTGAATTCCACAGAGGTGATTTCTACCCACCTGTCAGAACTTTGCACGTGGGGGCAGAGTCACCAAGCCAGCAAGACACCCAGTAGCCTGACAAGTTCAGAGCAAACATTATTACAGGCACAAAAAGAAAAGAGCTGCTCATTGTCCAGGAGGGGAGAAGTAGTCCTCCAGGGAGGCGTCCCTGCCTCCTCAGCCACGCAGCAAGGCTTCCCAGAGGCAAGGGGACCTGCTGTGGCTTCCCACGACCCTGCCATCACACTGAGACACCTTGTGTCCCTGAGCAGAGTTATATGCTCCAAGACTCTCCGGAGCACGTGCAGCTGTTTGACCTGATGAGACGGATGTTAGAATTTGACCCTGCCCAGCGCATCACATTGGCGGAGGCCCTGCTGCATCCCTTCTTTGCTGGTCTGACCCCTGAGGAGCGGTCTTTACACACCAGCCGCAACCCAAGCAGATGACAGGTGCAGGCCACCACACTGGGAGATGGAGAGCAGAACTGGGCTGCCCGGCCCCTTTTCTCCAAGCTCTACCACCGGCCCCAGGGCCAGAGCCACCCAATGAACAGTGCAATGTGAAGGAAGGCAGGAGCCTACAGGGGAGGAGACTTGATGCCCAGCTGCCAGAAAGCACAGATTTGACCCAAGCTATTTATATGTTGTAAAGTTATAATAAAGTGTTTCTTACTGTTTGTACCCCCTGGTACCAGTGTGTCCATCTCCAGGCTCCTTGCCTTCTCCCTTCCCCACCTTATTAATAAAGTCTTTCTTAGCAGTTCAGCTTGTGGAGAGCTAAGTGTGAACTGGGCCAGGCACAGAAGGGCTAGCCAGAAGCTCCGGTATCCCTCTGGGCCCAGAAGAGCAGTGGTAGGTCTGCTGAACAGTCCTAAAAGGGGACTGCAGGCCCCTGTACCTCTCAGCCCCAAGGAGTATAAGGGAAATGGCCCACTGGTTTTACCTATCCTTCTGGCCCTGTCTTTGGCTGGGACTTTAGACTGTTATGTGCCCAATAACTTTAATGAAGTGTGAGAAGCAAACGCAGGCTCCCTAGGGCTGGCAATGCAGTACTTCACTGCAGCATACCGAGCAATTTACCACAGAGCACAGGACTCCGTCATTCAGCTTTATTTTCGTGCTGGTTTTTGGTTCCCCAAGAGCTGCATGAGTGATCGTCTTGGCCACCTGACGGGGGCTCCCTAGGACTGGGCACTGTGGGCAGGATGCCTCTGAAAAGAGCTGAAGAGAGAAGAATCATGCTTATCTTTACCACCACTGGGGAAGGCCCAGGCTGAGGGCAGGAAGAGGCTTCAGGGCCACCTGGGGAGAAAACAGGGAGAGGCTTGGGCACCAACTCCGAGTGGCCCCTCAACACGAGGCCGTCACCCCCAGGGTCACTGTGACTGACTGGAACAAGCACAGTCTTCTGGGCCAGGGTTCTTCTAGCTCGTTTCTCACTGTACCCAATTAGGAGACCTCACTGCATCAACAGGCAGCCAGAACCTGTTTAATGGCTGCTTACTAAAATGCCTGTAATCCAGCACTGCTCCTCAGATTATGGCCCTGCCTCTAAAGAGAGGGCCCCATTATGGGAGCTCCTTGGCCCTGAGAGTGAGCAGAGGCTCAGGAAGGATACACAGCACGGGATTCACAGTCGCTGGCCTTCCGCTGCTGGAGACAGTTTAACATCTGAGGGAAGATGAGAGGAAAGGAGGGACCAGCCCTCTCTCCCCTGCCTCATCGGCTCCTGCCTATGCTCCTATAAGAAAAGTGGTAAGTAGCCTGAAACCCATGGTACCAGGGCCTACCCTGTGTCCACGATCCACCCCCTTAACCAGAGTGGGTGGGCACAGCAGAAGGAAGCCTGAAGCCCTGAAACAGGCTTTAAAGCACAAGCCTTTTGCAAGGACCCCTCTCAAGAACTTCAGGGCATGGCTCCTGTTCTACCAGCCTTCAGGGCCTGGGCCTGTGGACATCTGGGGGCTTAGTGCCTTAGGGTCTGAGCAGCAGTGTGTTCCTAAGGCTGAGCCCCACCAGCTAGCTCATCCAGAACTAGCCTCATTTTGGCATCTTTGAGACAGGGTGCTGGCCCTGAGCCCACTCATCTAGAGAAAACAATCATAAAGGGTTCAAGGCCCAGGCTGTAAAAGCTGGGGTAGAGCCCACATGGGAGGGACGTGCGCCCTGCTCTGGGATCACAGCTGCTGGGGACTATTTCAGGGGAAAGGCAGAGGGGGCAGAAGAGCGTAGGGGGGGTGTGCGCAGGCAAGGAGGGGTGGGGAGTGGTGGCTTAGGACGGAAGCACCAGGGAGCCTCTTCTGGCTCAGCACCAGGCTCCCCCAGGGGCCTCCCCAATACTGAACATTAAAGCTGCACCCTGAGGGGTCTGGCCCCAGACCAGGCAAAGGCTCAGCCCCCAGCTATAGAGTATGGGGTTGGGGGGGCACTGCTGGCAAGATGGGCACTGTGGTTCTACAGTAACATAACCTTATACTACCTGTGCTGAAGACAACAGAAAAACAGTAAAAAAAAATCCCAATACAGTAACACCATTCTGATGCCATTCCCCTTCCCTGCCTCCCAGAGTGATGGAGTGAAAAAAAACCCCAGCATAAAACTTGGATCAGCTCAAGAGAAAGGGTCAAAAGCCCCCAAATCAACCTGTGGCGGGGCTGAGGGAAGGCCTCAAAGCCCTCAACGGAACGGAGACTGCAAGTCTGCCCTCTAGTGGACAACTGCAGTGCAGCCAGTTCTACGTGATCTGAGGAAGGGCCGCTTAGCTGGGGTTGTGAGGGAAGCAAGGGAGACAGAGCCACAAGCTCGGCACCAGAGCCAGCTCAGGCCCCAAACAGGGCTGCCCCACCCCGCGAGGCGCTCGCCCAGGCCCAGAGGCTGTAAACGTGACACACAGTCTGTGAGCTGCCTATGTCTGTAAACAAAGCTCCACCTGATCACGCAGGGGGCCGAGTGTAGCAATGCCTGGAGCCACTGTGCACGGAGCCTGCCACTCGCCCCGCACACCCAGTGAGAAAGCTTTCCCTGGCTAAGGGCAGGTGGCAGGTCTGTTTTAAATATGAGCTGTTCTCTCAAAGAAAGAAACCAAAAAGAGAAAAAACAACAAGGTCCATGAAGCTTCACATCCTTAAGGCGTTCGTTGGCAGGAGCAGCAGGGGACCGCAGGGTCCAGCCTGCCCAGAGCCCTTCTAGGCAGAGTGCAGTGGGATGACAAACTTGCAGCCAAAGGGTGAGTGGTAGCTGATGCCCACCTCCTGGAATACCTGCTGGGGAATGCCGATGTCGCACAAATAGACACGGCCTGCGTGCTCCCCCAGAGGCAGAGGTAAGCCCAGAGCCAGTGACCACTTGGCATCGATGCCCTGTTCGACTTCATGCACAGGAGGGTCTATGCTGAGTACTGGTGCCCGGTTCTGGTTGGCCCAGGCCACGGCTGCTTTGTACCAGGGCTGATCCCGCAGGAAGGCATTCTCGGGACAATCCAGGCAGTTGATCACCAGGTCCACAGGGCTGGTGGGCAGATCTGTAGGTGGAAAGAGTGCCATCTGAAAACCCCTATAAAGTAGCAGCCCAGGCTGGGACTAGAACCATGGTGGCCCCCAAGAGTGTCTTGTTCAGACACCACTCCAATGCCTCTCCAGAGAATAGCCTTCTCAAGGCTGGGTCAGTACTCAGGCCCCGGAAGTTCCAAGGCCTGGTTAGGCCGGGTGCTAGAGACCAAGGGCGGGTCAGCCTGATGGACCACTGTCCTCATGGAGCTCCCAGGCTGAAGCACTGTCCTGCTGGGTGTGCAGAGCTTCCCAGGACACAAGGCCCTTGCCTCCTCTGCATATCTGACTAACTCTCTGGTAAATTATAGGCTCTGGGAAGGTGGGCTCTACTGCCATGTCAGCCCTCACAGGGAGACCGTGCCTAGGGCTCAGGAGAAATGGGCTGACTGCCATTTGCTGTCTGGCCCAAGAAGTGTGAGCAGGCAAGAGCATGCTCATTCTACACCAGGCTGTCCTGCTTCAGACTGCCTGGCCTTGCTGGCCCCTCTCACTATCATGGAAATAAGTCCTCCCTGCAGCCCAACCTTAAGAACGGGGAAGGAATCTATCACTTCTCTCAGGTGTTTTAAAAGGCTTCTCTGCTCTAACCAGGCCTCTGGGACAGTGTAAGAACAGATATCTCAACAAGTATGTAAGTCTTGACCAGCCCAAGAGGTTAAACTGAGACTAGTGGAAATCAGACCAAACTCAAAGGTGAGCATCCTCAGACTTGCCTCCTGGGGCAGTTGGGATAGAAAGGCTTGTGGGCAGCTAGAGGAAGAACCAACTGCCTGGAAAAGGGCATCATGTTATAGATCTCAAGGGGGGAACCCACACACGAGAACCCCTCCCCAGGTCTCAGCCTTAAGTGATGACATATCTCAATTAGAGACTGATGGCTTTCTTACTCAGAACAGGCCACTATGGATGGAGGTGGTGGTGTCCCTGTGGGCCTTGAGGCTCTCAAGAGTGGGAGCGGCATCTTATCTTCCGCATGCCCACAGGAGGAGCCTGGCCTGAGAGTAACGGCAACCTAGAATGGCTTGCTGACATAGCTGAACACACCGTTCTTTCCTTACTTGCCTTTCAGGTACCAGGCCCTCCGGGTTTTCCTTCTCCTTCACTGACCACTCTTTCCCTGTCTCCTTAGCTGGTCTCTCAAGTCCCTGACTTCTATACAAAGAACTCAGTCTAACAACTTCTCTATCTAATCTCTCTTCCTAGGAGACATCTTATCCAGGCTCATTATGGCTTTAAATACCACCCACACACTTGTAACTCCAGACCAGATCCCTTAACTCCAGACTCTTCTCCATCAATCAACATTTCCACCTGCATATCCAACAGGCATCTCTAACTGAGCTTCTGCTCTTCTTCCCCAAATCTCCCCCGCCAGCTCTTCCCATCTCAGTGATGGGACCTCCATCCTTCCAGTTACTCAGGCCAAAAACCTTGGAGTCATTCTTAACCCTTCTCTTTCTCTCGTCCCTTACACCCAATCTGTAAACTCTTATCTTCAATATTGCTTCAGAAACTAACCACCTTTCATCACTTCCACGCTGTCTTAGCCACCAACATTTCTCTCTCCAATTATCACAATAGCCTTAATAACTCTCTTTGTAAGCCTACAGTCTGCTCTCAAACAACAGCCACAATGATCATTTGGAACCCGATTGGGATATCTTTCTTCTTCTAATTCCTCCAGTGACTCTCCATCTCACCCAGAGTAAAACTTCAAACCCTCACAGTGATCCACAGGCCCTTTATGACTGGACCCTGAAATGTCTAAGTCTGCTACCCTCCACCCAACCCTCCAACATTCCGTCTTCCTTCCC